ACTGCTCAGAAACGTAATTTAAGAATATTGCATCTAGGTGAAAAATTAAGCATAAGGAATGACAGCAACATTTAGGAACCTAAGCTGAAATTTATCTAGAAGGACTGGATGCTTGCAAGGGAAAACATTTATGCAGAATTCCTTGTGCCGTGTTTACTTCATCTGGGGGTATCAGGAAAGCAGCTTCTAATCTCTGCAGGATTACTCTGTGTTTTCAACAAAGACGTTCAATTAAATCAAAAGAATAAGAGAAGGCAGTTTATTTTCTTTCCAGTGCAGTAATTTGCATTTTGAACTCAATACAGCTGAATCAGTGCTACTCAATAGTAGTTCCCACAATGTTAGAGGATGCTGAAAGAAAACCAGTTGCAAAATTAAGAAAAAAGCATAAGCTGACCCTAGTAATAATGTGAATGCTTCCTCATATTATTTTAGCATGACACATTCATATCACATAAAATACACAGTGCTATATACCTACATATGCACATTATGTGCAGTCAGCTGTTTTTAAGAAAGGTATTGTCACTGTCTAGAGACAAAGACCTTCTATGCCAAAGCACATGTAAGGCAGTGAAACCTGCTAGAATAATACAGAAAACTGCACCTGCAGCTCAAAAGGCCAACTGTATCCTGGGTTGCATCAAGAGAAGCATAACCAGCAGGTTGAAGGAGGTGATTCTGCTCCTCTGCTCTCATGGGGCCCCACCTGGAGTACTGCATCCTGTTCTGGGGCCCCCAAAACAAGAAGGACATAGAGCTGGAGAATGTCCAGAGGAAGGCTGCAAAGATGATGGAGGGCTGGAGCACCTCCCTACAAGAACAGGCTGAGAGAGATCGGGCTCTTTAGACTGGAAAAGAAAAGGCTCCAGAGGGAACTTTATAGCAACCTTCCATTACTTGAAATGAGGCATTCAGGAAAGCTGGGGAGGGACACCTCATAAGAGCATGTAGCAACAGGATGAGGGGAGATGGCTTTAAGCTGAAAGAGGGTGGTGAGACATTGGGACAGGCTGCCCAGTGACACTGTGGATGCCTCCTCCCTGGAAGTGTTCAAGGTCAGGCTGGATGGGGCTTTGAGCAACCTGGTCTAGTGGAAGGTATCCCTGCCTGTAGCAGAGGGGTTGGAACTAGATGATCTTAAAGGTCTCTTCCAACACAAGCTATTCTGTGAAAATTTAACCATTTTTGACACTGAAACACAGTTGTGAAGCTTGTAGGGTTTACTGCTTAGATAAGATAGCAAACTACTATTTAATTTGAGTAAAGATGTTCTGATTCTTTCCTAGATGACAACCTAAATGCCCTTCAAACAAAAGCCACTTTATACAAGTTTTTATAGTAACTATAATACCTAGTTTATCATATCCAGGAAATCAAAAGTCTATGTACTTGTCTGATTTTCATTTGGGAACAGGCTAACCTAGTCCATTCAAATGATAATTTGCAACCACAAAATTAATTATACATGATTAAACATGAACTTCTTGGAATGCAGATATAAAAAAAAAAAATCCCCCTCCAAAAATAAATAAATAAATAAATAAAATAAAAAATCAGAAAAGGTAGTAGTGCCAATCCAGTATTGTTCTGGTATAATTGTATCCTCAATACATCCCAGTTTTCCTTGCAGTTTTGCTGTTATTAACAGTGTATAAATAGCCCTCTCAGTGATGCTCAGGATGAAAGCCAAAAGATAGTCTGTTCACCTGTCACTGAAATGGAAAAATGAGAAACAGAGTACTGTAGAAAGATTTCTGGATGACAGACAAAACTAGTATAGAACTCTGATCCTAATAAAGATTTGCTAAAGCATTTTTCTGATTCAGAAGCACAATGAAAAGTTTTTATTCTTTATGTCATTGATAAGCATTTGTTTTTATGGGGAAAAAAATGACCAAACCTACAATAAAAGAGAGTAAAATCAAGAAAGATCCTATTATCAGTTCCCACCATTCAGCGACTGTAAAGTAAAAGAGTATTGCTAACAAAGTCATAACATTTTATCAACAATTTTACAAAGGTGTATATGTGCTAGAAGACCACCATCAATATTTCGTCTGTGCCCTGTGGGTCACCAAGCAGTATTAATTTGATGAAACACGAGCAGACAATCACAGGTGTGTTAAGTTAAGCCAGGGCACAAGATACGAAGCTTATGCTGGCTTTCATCCAGCTGCAGGAGTACAGGCCACATCTGAATCAGCACAAAGTTAAACAGGAGCAGTGTGGACACTTGAGATGGCTAGTATAAGCTAAGCTGCTATAAAATATGCTCAAAAGTTTTGAATAAACTTAACCAGGAAGAATGATTAGGTCCTGGATGGATGATCATTTGGCGTTACATACACACAATGCTAGAGGAGCCCTCAGACCTGAAGCCTGAAAAGTCTGGGTCAGTGGAAGGACAACTAGGAATTCCTTAATGTCTTGAATTCACATAAGTGGAGATGAATGGGAAACTCTCTGGAGGACATTGGAAGGTTTTGAATGACACTGGAGATTCTGAGAAAAAACACATGAAAGGAGTATTGCGAAAATGACCAGAATAACTAGTTTCTGTTCTTATACACAAAGATTTTAAGTCAGGAGGTAGCTTAATAAAGGCAACAGTATTGTAAAACAGAATAGGAGGAGGAGTCAAGCCCTGATTATATGACAGAAAGCTGCAGATGATTAACACATCATATATTCCAAAGAAACATATTACACATAAATAAAAACCACTGTTTATCAATAACTAACAGTAATAGATAACAGGTATAAACAGTAAAAATATTTTATGGAAATAGTTTAATCAATTCATTTCCTCATTCCTTGGTTTGCCTGTTTTCCTTATTTATTCTCTATAGTTGGTTAATAGGTAAGCTTCACTCATCCTTGACATGCAAAAATATTTCACCACAAAACTTCTGAAGAACAGTCAAAGAATACAGACAAATATGATTAATTTAATTTGAGTACACTGATTTTCATCTTAATTCATATTGCTGTCATGCTTTTTGGAGACAGAGTCCAAAATGAAGTTTGTGTAAACACAATAATATTGATTGAAAAACAGTTTCTTTACCTACTTTTCCAAGCCACGAGTAGCAACTCGCTAATTCTGTCAAGTAACTCATGTTATACAATGAAACTGCCTCATCTAAGCTCTGTAACTGTAAACTATGCTTTCCGTGTATAAATAATACAATAAAAACATTCATCAGCAAAAAAGAAGTACAGCCATCAAATGGAGGTGATTCTCCTCCTCTCCTCATAGAGAATCTGGAGTACAGCATACTGTTTTGCATCCACAGCACACACACAGAAAAAAGACAAACCTGTTAGAGTGGATCCAGAGAAGGCCACAAGGATCATAATAGGGCTGAGGCACCTCTCCTGTCAGGAGATGCTGAGAGAGTTGGGGAGGACCTGGAGAAGAGCAGGAAGGCTCTCGGAAGACATTATTGTGGCCTTTTATATATATAAAGGAGTCGTATAGGAAAGATAGAAAAGACTTTTTACCAGGAACTGTTGTGACATGACAAGGAGCAACAGTTTTTGTTTGAGAGAGAGTACATTT